TGTTGTCCCCTCAGATTACTCAGCACACCCCCACTCCCCAAAATATATGCATATGAGTGGGAAGTTGGGAAGTTACTCAGCACACTAGTGGGAAATATTAGTAACTTCCCCCAACCAACTGAGCACACTTAGAGGGAAGTGTTACTTCCCCCAACCAACTGAGCCCACTTAGTGGGAAGTGTTAGTAACTTTCCCCCAACCAACTAAGCCCACTTAGTGGGAAGTGTAACTTCCCCCAACCATCTGAGCCCACTTAGCCATCTTCTGTAACCATAAGCCATGTTTGAGTCCCCTAAGCCAACCTTGCACGCTGAGCTTTGCCTACGCCCACTACCTTGTGCCCATGTCCCTGACTTAACTATGCCACACATCCATAACTTGTGTGGTCCATACTTTAAGCAACATCTGAGCCAACCTTGTGAACTTAGCCCGTGCCAAGCCCACTAATCTGCACCCACATATAAATGTCTCAGAGTGCACGGCATCCAAATCGAGTGCCGTCTGCGCCAACCATCTTCTATGGACTCAAGGTACCTCTCATAAAGATCCCAAGCCAAAACTCCAAGCTTCACTTTTTCGCCATATTTACGAAAATGCCACTGGGCACCCCCAGTGCACGCTGACAGCATCCCATGGCTGTTAGGAGGCTTGTCAAGGTCCCAACCCCGTAACAAACCTCCCCCAGTTAAGAATTTCAACGTCCTCGTTGAAACAATCACAAAATGTCACAAGTCTCTGCCTGCAACTTAGCATGTTGGCACTGACCAACCCGAATGCTTAATGTTAACACTGCAACAACTCCACTGCTGCACTTGAATAATGCCATAAATCCCAACCTCCGCATCAATTCATGACATGAATTCTGAACACCTTAGGATTCTGTCCTCACAACCAGCAACTCAAATTAGAAAAACAAATAAAGAGGGAATTCACCATTACCAACCTTGGCAATAACTCTGTGAGCATCTCTGCATAGCCTTCCCCCGAAGCCACGCACTCACCTGCACCTATCATGACTGTATGACAAGAGGATTGACCCGAACATTACCCTCATCCGAGTCTGAATCTCCTCCATTGGCTTCTTCAGCAACCATAGCATTCACCTTCTCCTTCTTAGGACAGTCCCTCGCCCTGTGTGGATCCTTGCAAATGAAGCAACCACTGTGGATGAACATTGCCTCTGACTTACCTTTGCCTTTCTCTTCCTCAGCAACACTATACCTCTTGAATTGTCACCGAACTTGCCCTTCTTCTTCAGTTTGCTGGCGATAGTAGAGTCAGACTTTCCATTCTGCAAGTCCACCAGGCTGTCTGCTGCAACTATAGCAGAAGAGAGGTCGATCACACCGCTCCTCCTTAACTCAGTTTGTGCCCATGATTGCAAGCCTGCCATGAAATTCAACAATTTGTCCCCCTCGGACATATCTTTGATATCCAGCATCAAAGATGTGAACTCTTTCACATATTCACGCTCTGTACTCGTATGCTTAAGTCTCCTCAACGACTCCCGAGCCACCCAGCCAGAATTTGCTAGAAGAAACTGCACCTTCAGTTCTTTCCTCAGCTCTGCAAATATAGTAATTTTGGGGCGTAACTCGTCCTCCACCCGAGTCCGCCACCACAACTTAGCATCACCAGACAAATACATACTGGTAATAGTTACCTTGTCATTATCTGGAATGTGGGTCGCTGGAAAATATTGCTCCATATCCCACAAAAAATTCTCCAGATCTTTGGTACTCCTCTTGCCCCCGAATGACTTTGGTTCTGGAATTTTGACTTTGGAAGATGATGGCTTCTCTCCCACAACAGTCTGATTGTGCATGGCCCTCTTCAACAGAGCCACCTCGCCCTCCAAATCCTTCACATGATCTTTGAAGAGGTCTGTCATGGACATCACATCATCCGTCAAAATCTGCATCTTTGAGTTTGTCTCCCCCACAAACTCTTCAAGCATTGATCGTATTGTCTGCAACTCAAATGCAAACAATTCCATCTGCTCCGTCAAGGCAGCAGCATCGTCAGATTGTGGAGCACCCACCAAGGCCTCCAAACAAGTCACACGATCTTTGAGAGCTTCTGTAGCATTATCACCGACCATGATGAACCCAACTCTGGGCTCTGATACCAATTGTCACAGGGGTAAATTCTGAACACGAATCTAGTGCCCTGTGATGGCACTAAACCAGAAATATGAACAACTTTTCTCTGAATTTCTAACTTAACTCAGCCAACTCATACTTGCTGCCTAAAACACACAGCAAGTAAAACACTCTCACATACAAGTATAGTTGCAAAAATGTAAAGACAATAACACCCACGAATTTACAGAAGCACAAGGCTTCCAACCTTTTACTATTATTCACAAAACAGTACAAGGAAATGTCTCAACCTGCAGAAGCATATAGGAGTCTCTCACAACACAACTCTGTGTCTCACTCTCAATCTGCCCTCTCTACAGAACCCACATTAGCAATATATAGGCAAACTCTCAAAACCGCCCACAACTGCCCACTAAAGTGGTGGATGACACCCCCATCCACCCACAACTACCCACTAAAGTGGTGGATGACACCCCCATCCACCTAGGGTCATGTTGGAACCCACTAAGTGTGCCAGCACTACATATGTAGTTGACAAGCCCAACTACTAGCTTGTTGGCACGCTCTGCTCATGCCACTTGTCCACAGAAAGTTACACATTATCTGCCACCTTCTATATATCAGCATAGTGGAAGAAAACCGACTCTACCACCTGTGTGTTGTCCCCTCATATTACTCAGCACACCCCCACTCCCCATAATATATGCATATGAGTGGGAAGTTGGGAAGTTACTGAGCCCACTTAGTGGGAAGTGTTAGTAACTTCCCCCAACCAACTGAGCCCACTTAGTGGGAAGTTTTAGTAACTTCCCCCCAACCAACTAAGCCCACTTAGCCATCTTCTGTAATCATAAGCCATGTTTGAGTCCCTTAAGCCAACCTTACACGCTGAGCCTTGCCTACACCCACTGCCTTGTGCCCATGTCCCCGACTTAACTATGTCACACGTCCATAACTTGTGTGGTCCATGTTTTAAGCAACATCTGAGCCAACCTTGTGAACTTAGCTCGTGCCAAGCCCACTAATCTGCACCCACATATAAATGTCTCAGAGTGCACGGCATCCAAATCGAGTGCCGTCTGCGCCAACCATCTTCTATGGACTCAAGGTACCTCCTATAAAGATCCCAAGCCAAAACTCCAAGCTTCACTTTTTCGCCATATTTACGAAAATGCCACTGGACACCCCCAGTACATGCTAACAGCATCCCTTGGCTGTCAGGGGGCTTGTCAAGGTCCCAACCCCGTAACATATAGGCACAATATTGTAGTGTTAGCCATACCTGGAACTATATTAAGAAGATGGTACTTTCTATAGGATTAAATCAACAACTGATGGAGGAACAATGTTCCCACCCACAAAAACCATCACCACTGGAAACAACATGGTGTTGAAACAATTTCTACATAACAACACAACTACATTGACAACACAAGACTCCACGTTTTCGGCACCCAATCAATTAAGACAACAACATATCTTAAAATCTCATAATTAAGGCAACATGATAGTTTAATGAGGAAATCAAATATCTAATCGCATGGCAGTTTAAAGTACGACTAGACACTAAGACATATGTTCTGTCAATTATGTATCCTGGTGCTGACATTTTTAACGTCCATCAAGCGATATGCTGAAGAATATTTCAACATGCTAAAGCATCCATTGTATAAAGCAACATGGCATCAAAGAAACCGACAGTTTTACATACCAAGTCAACTGTAAATCAAAACGATAATATGGTAGTTTCAGTCCTAATAGACTGAGGCAACTATATATGAAAGCAAGATGGTAACATCTACACATTGACACAATTGTCAATTAAGAAAATGCAGTAACATCTACGCGAGCATTTATGGAAGCCACAATACGGTAAAAAAAGTTTAACAGATCAAAGCTTTTCAACATTAAAAAAGAAATGATAAGACATTTTTATTTTGTAGGGATAGTGGTAAGATACAACTAGACCAATAAGGCTAAGGATTAGTATTATATTTAAAAAGACATTCAGCAACAAGAGAAATTAGATGCAGAATATATAAGCAGTGGAGTTCTTTCTTATTCAACTTGAATATTTTCAGAATTCGTGTCGATGAGAATTTAAATATACAAGTGTGTGTGTGTGTAACATATACACATATACTTGATGCACAATCAGAACACTGGATGAGAATAACAGTGAGACACAAAGGTGATCATTGCAATTTTATCAGAAGTGTAGAGTACAGCAAAAACATTCACCTCATTCCTGCAATGGTGAAGAAGCCTAAAATTGAACTTTTACATACAGATTCAACTCAGCACAACAAATTGCACAAAATTTCATACTAAAATGTATCCACATGATTGGGGCACTCTAAAGCATGATTTCTCTTTTTATCCTAAGAGACAGTTTGCAAAAAATTGCAAATTGCCACCACCAATGACAGATCACACACTAATGCCAGAACTCACATGATCTACCTGAATTTGAAGAAGCCTAAATTTGAACTTTTACATACAGATTCAACTCAGCACAACAAATTGCACAAAATTTCATACTAAAATGTATCCACATGAACTCTAAGCATTATTTTTTTTCCGGGGGGGGGGGGGGGGGGGGGGGGGTTAACTCTAAAGCATGATGTCTCTTTTTATCCTAAGAGACAGTTTGCAAAAAATTCCAACTGCCACCACGTCATTGATCACACACTAATGCCAGAACTCACATGATCTACCCACTTTGGCAACCTATTTTCCTACATGTTGCTACCGGTTATAAAGTTGTTTTCAAAAACTTGACAGTTGAAAACAAACTAAAGGCTTGTATTTCTTCCTCTCATTTGAAGAAGAAAATATAGCATCCTAGATGTATCAATGACCAATGACTTAGATAGATTCGGATCTAGTAGCAAGATATAACAAATGAAGTGAGAAAGCCATTTTGCTTTGACAGCATATAAGTTTTCATATTGGCAACAATAAATGTAGGCAATATATTGCAAGGCAACATTTCATTATAACCAAAAAAACATATTTCAAAACCTTATAAAGAAAATACTTTTATCAAGACCAAAAACTCCATAATATTGCATCAGATGAAACACAATTCATCCCAAGTTACCTCACCGCAAAACCTATGACTTCGAAGATTTCATCGCAGCCAGCACCAGTTTAGTCTGTTCTGCAATCAACTCGACCTGTTTTAGATATAACTCAACTTCATCTGCCCGCAAATTGCTCCACTTTTCCTCCAACTTCTTTGCCTTCTTACTCCCAATCAAACTCATTCTTTCCTTGACGAAATTCGTCCCAGATTCCGACAATGACAAATACGAACCCTTCTCCGACTGCAGTGACTCTCTCAATCTGGGAAACATTGACCAAAAGTCCTCTTGACTAGCCCCTGTTTCGGGCTTCAATGCCACTTGCAATGCAAGTTCTTCTTTTTTCGGAGAAGCCACAGAATTGTTAACTTTCTCACTCTTTCTTGCTTTGATTTGGCTACTTTTTGCATTATCATCCACCCTATTACTAGCTCCAGCACCCCATATCTTCTTGGAAAGCTCGAATGACTTGTGCTCATGGGGTTTATTGAAAACCGGATCTTCTCCGTTGTTGCCTCTCTCTGCATTGATTAAGTACTTCTTCTTCAGCCTCCTAATCTTATCGGTCAATTGGACCTTCGTAACATCAACGTGAAGCGATTTCTTGAGAAATTCATGAAAGGCGCCCATGTCAGTATAGGGGTCAGACTCTTTCTTCGATTTATAGTCTATCATTCCCTTCAAAATTGCAATTTCGTCATCTTCACTCCACAACCTATTGACAGATTTCTTCTCTTCGATCGCCCCATCCTCTTCGTCACCGTTCGAAACCTTGTTCCTCTTCGACCGCGAATCCTTCCTATTTCGTTCAGCCTCCGCTGGGCGTTTCGCCGATGGAGTCAAGGTCGACTCCTTCTTGGGTTTGGTGTCATAGTCCATTGGCCTGGAGGCAATGGGTTTGATGGCGAAATCAGCAGCAGTGGGGGAGGATTGGGTGTTGTCAGAATCAGATTCCGAATCAGACCCTTCATCGGTTTCGGATTTGGACGAGGATTTTGGGTGTGGGTGTGGGATTGTGGTTGGATTAGGGTTTCGTTCTACTTCTTCTTCATCAGATTCGGATTCGGAGTGATTGGCATCAACGATGTCTTCAGACTGAGCTTTTTCTTCAGAAGACGATGAAGCAGAAGGTGGGTCTTCTAAGGGTGATGGGCGCTTTGGAGCCATTGTATTAGGGTTTTTCTGTAAGGTAAGAGAAATTAGGGTTTTAGGGCGAGTAGAAGTGACAAAGAGGATTAAGGTTTCGACATGCTTATAAAGTGGGGGAGAGATTGCGATTACCAAATTTGTCACCCCGTCGGCCCAGTAGGTTTCGAATTTGTGATATTTTTAGTACAGCCCGTCGGCCCATTACTTTCTCTTTAAATGCTATTAACCAATAACCATTCATTTTTATTCCCCAACACAGTCGCTGTACAATGTACAGAAATTAGCATCACGAAGGGCTTATTAAAAAGTAGGTAGACGGTTCTTTTTTTTTTTTTTTTTTGGGTTATAACAAAAATCACTCCATTAGTTACACTTTTGACTAATATTATTAATTTTTTTTTTCTTTTTTCCGCAGAGAAACAAATGTTCCATATATCTATTCAAATTTTGGTACACATCACACAAAGTTTTTCAAAACATGATCCTAGGCTCACATTTAATCCCATCATATCATTTGGATTCCGTGAATTCAAAGAAAATAAAATTTAAATAATCCAAATAATTTAGAATCATAAGGAACTTGGTTGAACCTTCTGTAAATTCACAAGTGATATTTGGCTTGTCACTAATTATTTATTTATTTTTATTCATGCAAATTTTTTTTTATGAAAGAATAACATTTTTTTTTTTTTTTTTTTTTTTGTTAAGTGCAAAATATTTCCTTCTACTATCGATATAGTGCAAAATAGTTTAATATCCATTGTAAAACATCCATTTTGTTTGTTTGAGATACAAATAAAATAAACCTCATTTTGTCTAAGAATGGAATAAGCTAAACCAAACAACCCCAAAACGGGATATAATAAAACTAAAACAAAACACTCCCAAACTATATAATACACCCTTAACTTTTATTTTCTTCCCATAAAAAATAAAAAAAAATTTAAAAACTTTCCAAAAAAATTAATTTTCCTTCCTTCCAATTTTTTTCTTATTAGTTCGCAGTGTATGCATATTTTGTTAGGGGCAAAATAGGGGGGGGAAAAGGATAAAATCGGGTTTTCTTATTTACTTTTTGCCAGAAAGTAATAAGAGGAACTTATTTGCACATTTTTTTTTACTTTTTTATTTTATGAACTGAAATGCACCTTTTAAAAAAGGAGTAATGTATTCTCCACATAATCTATATTATATAAGGGTTTTCTACACAACCATTTTTTTAGATGACCAACGTATTTAGAGTGCATTTGGATGGAATGATTTGGAGGGATAGGGAAATAAAAGAAAAGAAATGATAGGACTTAAGTGTATTTGAATGGTTTAAAATGAGAGAAAAGAAAAAATAGGGAGGGATAGTGTGATACCCCGGATTTTCGAATTCGGGTTGGCCGGGCCCGCGCCCGAATACCCGAGGATATTAAAAACAAATCAGTAATAGACGAACACGGAATACAAGAGGATAAATAAGAATAAATAAAAATGTTGAAATGAATACTAAAATGATAATCCAATAAATCCTCAGAATAAATTTTCATTAAATACTAAAATATTCTGATACAACCAATCTTCCAATACAACTCGGAAATCCATACTGTGTGGACCCTAGAAAATCCCAAAATTATATAATCAACGGTCTACAACTAGATACTGAATCATAAAGGAAACTCTTATGTAGATAATCCGAAAAAGTGAAGTAGATTGATACTCAGTACGAACAATCTCTACTCCTGATTTACACTTGAAAAATAATGGTGGGTCAGGCCCACAAATAAGTTCTACTCTACTACAGTCCAAGCAGAGATCTGATACACGTATACATTCTAATCAATCCAACAATATTTAGTAATCTGTATATATATAAGTACACACTACAGGATGCTCACAAGGCTATAGGTCTGCCTCAACCTGAATAGTAGGCAACATGCAAATCGCACATAAAGTGAGCATGAGTACTCAGACTTACCAGGGCACACAGATGTCTACTATATCCAGTTATCCATCATATGCAATATACGCACCTTAACCATGATCCTGAGAGTCAAGCTCATATCATGGCATAAAACGATATATATATAATCCGCCATATCCAAACATAAAAATAAATATCCAGTATGTCATCCAACTGATTCAGTTGACCTGATATAAAAATATGTAGGATTTAACATCCAGTTATACATGAATAGGTCGGACTTAATATTTTTAGTTAATCCGTCCCTAATATGCCACCATCCCATATCGGTGCATATAATGCATACAATCCATAAATGATGCTATAGTTATAATATCACATTAAATAAATCCAGAAATAAATATAATAGAAATCAGGTATATACATGATCATATTATGCATCCAATACATGACTAAAATCATATAACCTCCATTTAAATTGATAGAATAATTTTAAGCAATTAAATCATACATTAATTGATGAAATAAACAATACATCAATTAACCTATAATTAAGTATAATAAAATCATATATTTGCACGATCATATTATACTTGTCAATGCATGATTAAAATCATATAACAACCATTTAATTTGCTAGAATAATACTAGACAATTAAACCATTCATTAACAATATGTAAATTTAATTAAAATTTCATATTGTTCATCCATAGCATATAATTATCGATTATGCATTCTAGGTATTTAACATGCTCATTGTAGTTATTTAAAACACCCAAAATAACTTACACAGTCCTAGAATATCCCAAACCTCAAAACAATAACAAAAAATCCCAAAATTTCAAAGTACCAGCAATGGAGCATGCTCCCCTTTTTAGGGATCAGGCTCTGCCCATAAGGGAGTCGGCTCTCGGCCTGAAGGAACTGACTCCCTTCTCTATTGAGCCGACTCCCTTCTCCATGGAGCTGTCTTTCTCATCTGAGAGCCGTGATTTAAACAATTGGGAGCCGACTCCATCCCCTAAGGAGCCGGCTCTCAACCTGTTGTCCCTCATCTTTTTCATCTCCGGCGGCCTCCGATCACTCCGACCACCTTCGTTAAGGGTCCTAAACCTTTGACCTAAGTCCTAAACAATCCTTAATAAATTTATAAAACCATTATGCATCTTTAACACAAGTTACAACAAGATTTCATGCAAGAGAATACAAGAAACCAAGATACATATTAATACATAAAATCTGTTTTCATTCAATTTAAGCATGCATACAGAGTTAATTTATTATCTAATTAACCCTGGAATCTTCTAGGCATGTATAGAACACGAAATCTAAGGGAGAGAGTATGAGAAGAACTTGCCTTAAGGGTTTTGAATAAAAACCCCAACTCTTTTCTTCTCCGGCGAATTCCTCAACGCCGGCAGCCTCGAGATGCCGTCGTCCTACTCTGCTGAACTGGACAATAGCCACAATCAACCCTTTCTCTTCCTCCTTGGTCCAGCCCTAATGTAATACCCCTAATTTTAAAAGGATAGTCATGGCATTTATTTAATTGTTTAATCATTTATTTAATTGTTTAATTGTGTATTATTTTATTTTATTGGTTATTTTAATTGTGTGTTTCTTCCATGGTTATATAAATTTGACTTTGTTTTAATTAATTGATTAAAGTGTTTTATTTTCTTTTATTAAATTGTTTTAAATTAAATTATTTTATGATGTTTTATTTGACTTAATTGATAATTGGTTTTATTTAATTAAATTGGTTTAAATTAGGATTGTGTTTTCTGTGTAATAACGTATTAGCCGACATAGGTTATAATTTTGGTTATTCTTGGGCCGACTAAGTGTTACATTAGGGCTCAACTTATACAAGGATTAGGGTTGGATTACTACGCCTATAAATATGACCTTATGTGGGTTTAGAGTTGGAGGAAAAAATACATAAAACTCTATTCCCGTATACAGTGATACAGAGAGTTGTGAGAGCAGAGAAAGAGAGAAGGATTAAGGAGGGAAGCTAGGGTTGTGGGCTTCAACTAAGACTGAACCTAGAGTGACGGAGGTGAAACAACAGTCGGAAACTTCGTCGGAAAATTCAAGAGACGACAGTTTAGAGTTTCAAATCTGAAACTTAAGGCAAGTCTTGTTCTTCTCTATCTCTTTAATCTATGTTCTGTGCATGATTAGCTAGACTCCAGGGATTAAATAAAGGCTAAAACGAAATAGTAATGCATGCATAATTGGACTAAAATAGAGAGTTTCATGATTATATATGCTTATTCGTGTTTTCTTTATTTCTTTGATCTTTATGCATAAACTGTTGTTTAAATTGAATCCTTGCCTACTAAAACATCTAAAATAATTTAGTATGGACGCATGGGACATAGGAGGAAGCTTAGAGACCTTAACAATGAAGTTTTAGGGTTTACAGAGACTAAACAGACGAAGAAGACGGCTTCAGCACCAACTTAGCCAACTCAGTTAGGAACTGAGCCGACTAAGTTGGTAACTGAGCCTGCTCAGTTGTAACTTAGTTTGCTCAGTTGGGATTTTTGGTTTTAAACGCCCAGTTTGGGTTTTTGTGCACTGTTTGGACTATACAGAGTGTTAGCACTTCGTTTAAATTGTTTTAAATGATGTATATTATTGTTTTAGACCTTTAAGAATATAGGTAAATAATGATTCATAAATGGATTAAGGTATAAACAGTGTACAGTTAGGGGAAGATCCTACATGTTGAGCTTTGAATGTTAATCAGCTTATACTTTGGAACTTGGAGGATTGTTTATATATGATTTAAATTTTAATTAATCATATTTAGATAGGATTATAAGTAACATGGATTACTTGAATTTAACCATGCTTGTGTTGGATCAAATTAATTTTCACTTTGTTATACATCTGCATCAATTTATGGATAATTTGGAGGATGTAAACGCTTATACTTGTTTTAGCTGTTTACATTATTGGAATTGGATTTTTAGGCTCTATAATGACTGCCTAATATATATATGTGTGTTAATTTATATTGATGCATGTTTTGAAGGATAGTTGTTGGATATATATAGTGTCGTTTTATTAACTATGCTATTTGGAGGATTGTATGCACCAGTATGGGACGGTGACATACTGGGTATGGACTAGTTCAAACATTGTGTTCTACCTAACTTGGATTGAGTTATGGATTAATCACAAAGGTTAAGTCCATCACCTATATGTGTCATATCAATTGTGAATTGAATGATCCACTATAGTTTTAGGATGGATTTGTTATACATA